CAGGAATAGATGGCAGTAAAAAGTTGCCTTTTTTTTTCTGGTGAATCAACACTACATGAAGACAAAACCTTTCCTAGAAGATCCAGCCCCTCTGACCTCATCCATAACACTGTTCTAAACCCAGTCTTCGACCCTAGCACATTGTTCCAAGACAGTCTCATTGCAGAAACGAGGAAAATACATTAGAAATGCCAACAGCATGCTTCATTCTGGGGTAGCAATCCTTCTGAAAGTATGCCTATCTCTTCAGCGTTCTAGCTGGAAAACTAAGGGCTAAACTCAGAGACTTAGGATTCATTAGTCACCCCTGTGTACCCCAGAACTAATGTGTTAAGCCATATTCCCTTATTGATACCAGGTATCTCCTCACACTGACTGAAAATGAGAGGTCTAGCTAGATATCCCATGTAGTCTCTTAAGTTAAACCTGTAGCCCTGCCTACATGACAAGGATGAGTCCCCTGCTTGTCCTAGCATTAAGTCAGGACATAGCCACAGGTTTTATCCTTCTTCTCTTGAATCTTAACTCTAATTCCAACTCTAGCCCTGAAGTTGATTTTGAAGAAAGTAGTTCTCTTGCTGTGGAGAGGGTGAGGTTCATGGAAGGGCTACTGTATTGTTGTATCCTGCAGATACAACTGAGCCCCAACAGGTGCCACAACAGTGAAAGCAAATGCGCTACAGTGAGTCTGGGAACCTGGGTTTCCAGGGATTATGCTTGAAACAGGGCTGGGGCAAATGTTGGGATTAGTGTTCAGGATTGCAGGCATTTAAATGCTAGTTTTGTTGGTTGGTGCTGCAAAATCCAAACAAAAAGGGAGGTGGTTTGTGCCAGACAGGGAGGCAGGCTGAAGTCTGAACAGGTAGAACTTGGTGCTTAGTGGCTGAGGTTCAGACTCTGGTTAGTTGTGGTTGGTGGCAGGGCAGGCTGCAGCCACCAGCCTGTGCTGAAGGCCAGGGTTCAAGTTGGTGTCAGGGTGCCAGTCTGTGCATTGTACGCTTGTGTGTGGAATCCTTAACTGAGGTACAGCAGATCAAAAGGTGCCTCATGGATATTTTCAGTGATCCTCACCTGCTCCTCCTTCTGATCAACCCTGGAGGCAGAGAAGGATCCAGCAGCAATGTAATTTGACAGCCTTAGAATGGCCATATCCAGTGAAACACTTTTTTTTTTAGAGAGTCTGAATTACACTGCAGAGGCTTTGTTGTGGTGCTCTGGTGCCATCTCAGCACATGAATGGGCACAGGGAGCAGATCACCTCCTTGCTTTGGGGCAGTCCTGTTCCAGTGCCTGCTCCCAGGATGTCGGAATCTGCTGCCAACTGAGCATGCAGCCATTTGGGTTTTGGCCTTTGCTGACAGCGATGTTTGATGTTGATCTTACCATACACCAGCTAAGAACTTGATTGCACAGCCTTTAACTTTGTGTTTTGTTGATTAGTATTTTTTCACTTACAAAATAAAATACATCAGTAAAGCATGTGAACAATTGCTACTTTAGTGCGATCTGCTGGCCTGTGAGATCTGAAAGGGAAATTCCCCAGGAAGTGACTTTAAATTACATTGGAACTGATTGTCATGTTTAGCAAATTTGCCTGTCTGAGAATTACAGAAAGCCTGCAGCCAAACAGTGAAAAATCAATGCACTTTTATGTTTGTTATTTTTAAAAGCCCAGAAGTTAACTTAAAGAGAAATAAGGGAGTGTTAACTAAAACATACATACATGCAAACATACATAAATGAGCCTGGAATTTTATTGCTGAATGGGTACTGAACTTTTATATGCTTACTGCACTATGTACAGTGTTACTCATTTGCAATTAAATTGTAGTGATGAAGTGCAAAATTAATATACTATATTGAAATACTCCTCAAGTGGCTTTTCTGAAATATATATGGGGGTTGTGCTAATGAAATCCAGCAGGTTTTATGACTACTGGGTGCCCCCACGTTCATCCAATGCAAACAAATGGAGAAAGGTTCATTATGAGAAGGCAAGTACATACCTTCCTCAGTGTGCCAGTGCTGCTACTCCTGCTGTGTGTTCTCTTTGGTTTTGAGATGGCTTGTAGAGAAGGGAGGCTGCAAGCCTGTGGGCTGGGATGGAGAGGTTAAATTGTGATACCAGAAGACACTGGTATAATTTTTAGTTAATAAGGGAATGTTGCTCAAATTCTTATGGTGTCATTATCATGGTATGTGGTATCATTATTATCTAATATTGGATCAGTATTAGCAAGCCTGCTTAAAGCTTTAAATAACAACAGGATGTAAAGGCAGAAATATTAATGAGGAAAACTGGAACAGGATGGATTGTAAGCAGGGGTCTGCAAGGGAGACATCCAAAGTTAAGTGAGGTGCATCCAAACCTAGGGAAGTGGTAACGCACTTACTTTCTGAGGGCACAGCCATCTAGCACCTTGCTACAAAAATAACATTTGCAGTGGTATTTTAAGGGTGCTCCTCCCAGAAACTATCCAGAAATCTGGAAACTGTTGCAGCAGGGATGTATTCTCTCTTGGGAATGTCAGTAGGCTCTTCATTAACACTGGCAGGAATCCTGCAGGGCCTGTATTGTCCTGAAGGCAGATCTGAGAAAGTGCTGGAAAACCTAGAAATTCCTTGTAGTGCTAGAAAAGATTCTATGAAGTGTGAACTTGAGAATGCCCTTAAATGAATGCAGTTCAGTGGTACAGCAAAGGGAACCATCTGCTCCTACACCCAGTGGTGCAAGTCCCAAATCACAGTGTTGGCTGTTGTGGGGTATTTCTGTATCTTCCTAGCTGAGAAAAATTGGTCCCGGTGGGGGCCTCGAGTGAGGCAGAGCTGAAGACAGCAGCAGACCAGCCTCACTGACCTCCCAGCTCTCCTTCCAGCTGTGTTTCTCTGTGCTAATAAACTTGCAGAATCATGTCCACCAGTCTCCTTGGCTGAGCCCTGTAACTTATTTATTTACTGGCTGTCCATTATTTATGTGAGAGCAGGAAAGCCAGTCAGTTGGGTGTTTTTCTCTCTGTTTTTATTTTAACTCTTTCTTCTTGCTCTCTTTTCTTTCTCCTCTCTGTTACTGTCTTTCGTATACAATTTGTTTTCACTCAGTTCATTTTTGAAGTACCTAGAATACAGCAAACAAAATGCCAAGCTTCAATTAAATAATAGTAATAATTAAAAAAGGCCAACAGAGAGTTCTTATACATTTTTTATGACCTAGAAGTCTCCTGAGATATCTTGAAATTGCAGAGAAGTTCATATAACTGGTGGATTGATGTATTTTTTTTTCCCCCAGTTTCAAAGAGTGTCAGCTGGAAAGAGAAGCAAGTAAGTGGGAATATGGGACACGGGAATTTTACCTGAAAGGAAGGGAGACTGCACACCTGTTTATAGATAAATAGAGAACATGTGATGCTTTATAGGAATGTGAAGCTTGCAGTGCATGAATGCAGGCATTTTGTGTGTTGTTGTGAACATATGCTGAAAATGAGTTACCAGGAAAGAATTTTACCTGCAGAAAGTGTTTATACCTTATATGACCCCTAACGGTTGAAACTTGTTGCCAGTTGTTTTGTTATTGTAGTTGTTTGTTTGTTATCATCGGGAAAGGAAAAGTTCGGGCGCAGAGGAGAGCACACCCATTAAGCAAAACCCACCCAAGCCCCCTTGCTTTCTAAATGCAAAGCATCACCCGCAGTCACCTCCCCCCCGCTCCCAAGGCCCCGAGGGGCAGGCAGAGGATGGAGCTTTGTCCCCTGTTCCCGGCGCCCCGCGCGGGGGCAGTGCCGGGCTGTGCCCCTCCCGCCCGGCAGGCGGCGCCGCAGCCCCGCGGCTGAGCGGGGGGCTCGGGGCGGGCTCAGCCCGGGCGGCTCCTGCGGGAAGGGGGTCGGTCCTGGGCGGGCTGGGGTCTTGGCTGCTGGTGGGCGAGCCACAGTGACTCCGCGGGTCCCAGCCGTGCCAAGCTCGTCCCAGCAAGGGTCTGGCTGGGAGCAGCACAAAGGTGTGAGCGTTTCCCCTGTCTGAGCTGCATGCGGGTTTATACCTGTTATTTCATCTCCCCTCCCAGCCGTGGTGCTAAAATGACAATTCTTTCGGTGAGAGGAGGTGAAAAGAAGATGGTGAACGGTGAGAGGTGTGAGGGGAGGTGCACCGGATACTTAACGTGGAGCCACGGAGGCAAGGAGAAGAGTGTGCTCATGTTCCTAACCCAGCGTGACTCTGTCAGGCCAGTCGCATCCTCCCCAAGGTGGGGATGCAGCAGCATCACAGAACTTTTCCGAGTTGGAAGGGACCTTAAAGATCATCGAGTTCCAATTCCCCTGCATGGGCAGGGACACCTCCCACTAGAACAGGCTGCTCGGAGCCCCATCCAACCTGCTCTTGATGCAGGGATGGAGCCCCCACAACATCTCTGGGCAGCCTGTTCCAGTGTCTCACCACCCTTACGCTGAAGAATTTACGCCTGATCTCTAACCTAAATCTCTCTTCTTTCAGCTTAAAACCACTCTCCTTGTCTTGATAGCCTCTTCTCAGTCTCCGCAGTCATCCATATTTTGCCTCTTGATCACGTTCTGACCTTGGTTTTTGTTTCACAGCACACCTCAGAGGCACCCCCTGCCCTTCCCTGTCAGTCTTCTCTGAGGGGCACCCGGGACCCCTCTAGTGCCCTGCAGGGAGGCAGAGCAGCCACGCTGAGGCCCAGGAGCTCTCTGTGCCTTGAGGGGGCTGCGCAGGATAAAACACCATTACAGAATATTTCCCACAAGTGACAGCAGCTTAATTGCATGCTAGATGAAGCTGGAATGGTTTATGCCTGTGACAACAGTTTAGGACACCTTATTATCAGCCTTCTCCAGATCTTACATGCTGTTTTATAACGGGCAAAGAACCTGTGATCAATGCTGCTGTTCCCTTGGTGCAGACTGTCCCTGTGGCCAGTCCTGCTCTGCTTATAGGGAACCTGCAGGGATGACACAGACATCTCCTTCCTCCCCTGCCCTGTGCAAAAGGTGTTCTCTGGCAATGCACCTCCCAGAGAAAGCAGGGATGCAATGTGGTGTCTTCTCCTTTGTGAGCATGGGGCTGGGCTTGTGCTTCACAAATTGTGTGACTTTGCACTTTGTAACTAAGCCCAAATTCCAGCATAGCCATCATGTGCCTGCTCTTTTCTGGGGTGGAAATATCTACTGCTCTCTTGTAAAGGCTGTATAAATCCCAGAGGAAGCCCTGCTTATGCACTGGCTTCCAGATGATTCCTCGTGGCAGAGAATTTGCCTTGGAGTTGAGGCTGCAGGGCTCGCTACCCCTCTTTGATGTTCTTCGATTTTCAGATACCAACTATAGTGATTGGCTTTGAAATTTTTACCAAGACAAAACTCCCCTTTGCCTTGAAGAAGACATCCAGCCTTGGGCATGAATTCACAACTGGTTGCGGCAAAAAAAAAGCTTGATCTTGTTAGTGTCAGGTTGGTCTGGTTGGTTGATTTTCAGATTGAGCCAAATGGTTATTAAAATGGATGGTGCTCCTGTTCTGGCAAGCTGTCACTTCACAGGGCACCCGGTTTTCTCACCAATGTGCTTTCCCAGCCTGCCTCCCCAGCTCCAGGGACAGAAGATAAGCCAGCAGAAAATGTCCTCTCTAGCCAAGTGTTTGTCTGAAGTGTCCCAGCTACTATGGAATGATTATAATCTTTTCTCTTTATACCTTTCCTGTGCTCACATGTTGCCGTGCCATCTGAAATTGAATGATAAAATGTTTTTGAAGAAAAGAAAGACACGTATGGCATCAGATAGTTGCACTGTGAGCACCACCCTCTACTGTCTGTGTGCATGTGATAAGTGGGGGCTGTCACTTACGGTTCAAATAACAAAGCAGGACATCAGGCACACTTAACATCTTGAAGATAGAAAAGGGCTAACCACAGACAGCCCTCCACCTAACTCAAATACCTCTGTTTCAGTTTATGAAACTGAAGGTCACTTTGTGAGCATCACCAGTATGGGACTTCACAAGTACTGGTGCAGTGTCTGAGCATACCCCATCTGTGTTACTCAGCCTGCTAGGGAGCAGGGAAAACTGTATCAAGGAACAGCATCAGTCCCTGTGCATGCAGCTGCAAACGCTGGAGCAGCGCTTCAAAGGGCAGGCAGCTGCTCTGGGAGTTCCTGCTGGGGCCAGGCAGCCTGTCCTGCCTAGACATGGTTCTGGGTCCCAGCCCCCAGCCCAGGGATGCTGCCTTCTGTGATCTCTCACAGGCTTTACAGTTGGATTAAGCACATTATTTGGGTGAGAGGGAGAGGCAGCAGCACCAGGGGAGAGCACAAAATGTGGCTGGCTTAGCAGCGGTGGAGCAAGAGACGAGATGTGTGTACCTGAAAACATTGGAGGCATGGGTGCAGGGAGCATCTTCACCCTGCACCTGGCAGGGCAGGAAGAGGGGACAGGCAAGGAAGATTTAGGCTGGCCTTGCACACAGTCTGGATGTCTTTTTTTCCCAGTTGACCATTTCCCTCTATTGCAGGTAGGGGACCAGGCTAAATAGTTTAGCTGCCTCCTTTGATTATGATAAGCTTAGTGTTCTGGGGGTGGTTAGGTACTGCCTGCAGCTGGTGAGGAAGTGAGGGTCAGAAACAACACAGGAGTCACTAGGCTGCTGGCTTCTACACCCACCAACAAGATAGGAAGAGACTGTATCCTCATTCCACCCTGGGGAACATTTGCATTGGTGGCAGCAGGCTGGCACCATTGAATCATTTGGGGTGGGAAATCAGGCTTTCAGTTAAAGGTCAGGTGATGTATTTAGTAGTCTCCCATAATGACAAGAGGGATACAGAAGATTTTTTAAGTTGTGCCGCTCTTTCACACGCCCTGACCAAGCAGTAACCTAGACAAACGCTGTCCTCACTGCGTGGTCTGCTGAGCAGAGGCAAGTGATCAAGAGCAGTGCAAGGAAGGAATGAAAGCCCTGCCCTCCTTGTTACCCCTGGCCCATGGGCTCCTTTGCCATGGGGTAGGAAGGAGCTGGTTATTGCAGGTGGCTGCAGAGGTCCTTTCTGTACGTGTTTGTCTGTTGCCCTTGGCACTCCCTATAGAGCACTGTCGCACCCATTCAGCTCGGCTGCAGGAACTGGGTACTCTAGGCAGAGGCCTTGGGGAGCAACAAAGCATGTCACTTACAAAAATATTTTGTGGCCTTTGGTTTCACAGATCAAGATGTGGATTATGCCCTCAGCCATCTAAGAGATTATGTTCTCAATGTTTATGAACATTATTTTATCCTGTAAATGAGGTCTAGTTAAGAAAATATCCCTGTAAAATCGACGTATGGCTATGACAAGATTACTTTCCATGGCATCCATCTGAATGCTGGTTAGTTTACAAGTTGAAAAAAAAAAAGATTTCTCTAAGTGCCATTTCTACAACTTCACCCTGCAAATTATACTAATAATAAGTTTGTTCTGCATTTTATATCTCCCTTGGAGAAGGGATCCTGCAGGCAGGAATGACCAGCAAATTGCAGCAGGGCTGTGGGAGGCAGAGCCCTCTCCCCTCCTCCAGCTGCCTGGCTCTGGAGGATTCTTTTTTGCATACCTAATGCCACACTTCTGGAAGGGTGGCTTGAATAAGAACTTATCACTTCTTAAAGTTGCTGTACTGATCTTAGCCTCAGTGTCAGGGTTTGGTGTGTAGTATATCACACCTGCTCCTTAAAGCTTACTAAATGGAAAGTCTTCTGTGAATTCAGCTAGATGTGGGGTTAGGCTCTACATCTATGTTTTGGGACTTTGCCCAGACTTGTCCATAAAGTCTTATCTAGGGTTCTCTCTTTTTCTGTTTTCTCCCCTTGTAATTTTTGCCTAGCACAGGTTTTGGTTGGCGGTCCAAGATCTCAAGAAACAACCTCTACAGGATGTAACCACCAGAGTGGAGGAAATCTGGCAAGAGTTTCTAGCTCCTGGGGCCCAAAGTGCTATCAACCTGGATTCCCACAGCTATGAGAAAACAAGCCAAAATGTCAAAGACCCAGGGAGATATACATATGAAGATGCACAGGTTTGTATTTGATTTTCTGGAATTACTGCAAATACAACTCTCAGTTTTACTGTGTTTTTCCACTATCAAGTTGTCACTGCTCACTTGAAGGAAAAGGAGACGCACAGTTTGGAGTGACTTTGAGGATATCTTTTTAAGCTGGGTAAATGATATTTTCTTTGAATTTACGAGTTATAAGAGGCTAATGCTCCTCTGGGAACAAATGTTCCAAAATTTCCAAGTCTGCAAGGCTGCAAGCATGCCTCAGAGAAAGCAAAGATGAAAGAGTGCTATAAAGTTCAGTGGGGCACTCTGTACTCCCTGTCACCAAAGTCTGCCATGGTTTCAGAATGGCTGATACCATATAAAAATCCTGGTTAATAAACTTTTTAGTATTTTGTTTATGGCTATTTATCTCCCCCTCTCTGCCAAACCCCAAGTGTAGCAGATCCCTTCAACACAGCTAGAAACTTGTCCAGCAGACAATACCTTAGAGCAAGGATAGGACGGTATGCAATGCAGTGAGTTTAATCCTGCCCTCCTAAGGGGGCCCCAGATTTATCAAGAAAATTTTACACATAAACTGTACACAGAAAATGCCTTTAGGAAAACAGATAATTTGAGAATAACTGCTAGGAGCAAGGATAAAGTTGTATAACCTTCTGAAAAAATGAAATTATCATTTTATAAAGGCTAAAAACAAAAGGAAGAAGGAATAATTTGGCAAATATTACCAGGGACACAATTAAAAGATATCCTCCTCATAAGCATTTTAATCAAAACTGTGTAGTAAAACCAACAGCAAATGAAAAGAATCCTGGTTCTTGTATTTTGTTAAAATTGGCATTCAAAGGCTGTTTTTCAAAATACTCCACTAACAAAATATTTTCATCTCAGGGGAGATGTTGTAGACCACTTACACATGGTTAGGCAATGAATTTTTCAAACCAGCATCAAATACTGTATTTTTCTGAATGTAGTCTTGCTCCTTGGGGCCAGCATAGAAGGAATGTATGCAAAGTTTCAAGGCAATCCCCTGGGAATATCAGGCAACTTAAATGTTCCTTTTAAAGCTGAGAAACACAGGAGTGTCAAGACATTCTGGCTAAGATATACTTTTTGCTTTGCAGTTTTAGTGAACAATAATTTCTGCAAATTTTCATCACCTGAAAAAAATAGTGATGGCAAAATGCAGGCTAAAGTAGATAGGTGAATAATGGTGGAATTGATTAAATTGATAAGTAGAAGTACTGAGAACAAGATGGATGTTTAGAGAATGAGTATTTAATCAGAAGAAGACATGAAGGATTTAGGGTTGTACTGATCAGTTCACAATGTAATTGCCATTCAAAGGGGGGTTGATGAAATCAAGCTAGAGCTCTTGCACTTAGCTTATTTTAGCTCTTTGGGTTAATTTTATTTCAGAGGATTTTTATGCTGATGAATGTCCTCAATTCATCTTTTTTGGTTCACGGACATGGAAGCATGAGGCCAAGATAGACCTTCAGGCCCAGCTATCGTCCTCTTGGAGACTGAATCTGTGCCCGGAAAGGACAGGGCAATGCGGAAGGTTAACCCAGTTACCTTCTTGTGCAGGGGACTTCTGGTAGCTCTCTAGAGACCAAGCAAGCGGTTTCTGAGTGGTTGACCAGATAGCTAAGAAAGCCAACAAAAGCAGGGAGAGACAAGACACTCCTGAGGGCACAGTGTCCTAGTGAAGCTGGAGCAATGTTGGATTTTTCTGGCTTATCCTGGCCAGGGGACGTTTTTGTTTGCACACCCACTTCATGGGCAGGTCTCCCCAGTTGGCTGTGAATCTCCCAGGTATTGTCATGGCGTCTCCCTCAGGTCAGCCCTGCCACCTCAGGGGCTCTGTTGTCCACGGATCTGCAGCAGATGGTAGCCCAGCTGCCTTATCTCAGCACCCTGACACCAGGGACCCATGAATGCTCCCACACATCCCACATTCCTAAAGACTCAACAACCAGTCAAAACACCCCACTGTGGGAGGGAGAATACAAGTGTCATCCTGTCTTGTGTAGCTGTAGTACAAAGAGAAAAACAACTGAAATGTCCTTATAAATAGAGAACAAGAAAAAAATTAGTTTACTGAACAGCACATTCTTTGAATGCCTGCAGCTCTGAGACACTAAGACTAAGGGGAAAGAGAAGAGTTTGCTTAACTGATAAGATTAAATTGGTTCTCCTGCAGTGGTAAATAAGATAAGGTAGTGTGGCATTCTGGGCCTTATACTGACCTGGGAGACCTGCAAAATGCCAGTTCTGAATAAAAAGTGCTGGGAAATTGCTGTACTTGGGAAGGGGGAAGTGTAGCAGAGCACAGTACACTTCAGGCTACTGAATGCATTATAACCATAGTTTCAAAGCAAAGCATCATCTGTGATCAGGTGCTTAACAGGGCACATGTATGTGCTTCTGTGCACAACCTTGGCTCCCAGCTCCAAAGAGCTCTCCCAGATGCTGCACGATCATCTAGTAAGACAAGTGGCCTAGAAAAAAACAGGGAGAAAAGGGGCCTCTCGACAAACAGCCCTCTCACTTAAAACCTCTTTGTCCCAAGGCTGCTCATGATCTGAAGGCAAATGGTTCCTCTATGTAAGAAAAGTGACACTAATAGCCTTAGCTCCAAACATCCTCCAAGTGCTCCTAATCCAAACCTGAATTTGATGTGCATTTATTATTTCAAGTAGAGCTCTCTCTAAGATGGGTCCCTGTATTACAGAAGCAAGTGTTTTGCCCAATCTCAGCTAAAGAGATTTGCCCTGTTGTGTGGCTGCTGCGGCTGCAGTCCTGCACCGCTCCACCTGCACAGAGCCGCCTTCCCCTGTTGCGCCTGCACCTGCCTTCCCCAGCCATCCAGTTTGCTGGTGTCCTCATCCCCAAGCAACACAGCCCCTGCTCCTGGATCTGTCTTGATTGTCAGCTCTGCCAACCGTCTTGATCTGCAGCCATCTTCTGTCATTTCAGTGCTGGGCCCCTCCAGAGGCGAGCCTACCAATTTAGCTGATTGTTTCCTGCTCTTAAACAACTGTCCGCTGAGTAAAATATTATGATTATCAAACCATTTTCACTGGGGAGTAAGGCAGCTTTTAATACAAGGGGCACTGTCAGGAAAGGTCAGTTCAATTAAACAGTGAACTACTCAGCAGGATGTAAGCTCCCACAGGAGTTATCAGCATCATTGGACAATGAATGTGAGGACCTGCAATATGAAGCGGGCACAGCCAGCTCTGGAAAGTAAATAGGTTTGGGTCCATCCAAAGGGCCTCTTTTGGCTAACGAAGCTGCTGACAGCCAAAGCAGTTGGTCTTCAACAGGGGAACCCAGATTTGTGAGTGGGACGACTATGTCTTATCTGTACACTTTATTAGTTTTTAAACATTTTTTCTGCCTACTTTCAAGCATCTCCTTGCCTCCCTTGAAATGTCTTTCTGCCTTCAACAAGTCTTTAATCCTTGGCACTGGGAACTTGTATCACAAGAATGTATTGCGTATCCTGTTAGTAATGTTTGTTTGTAGGGGCATTTACTTTGGAGTCAGGTATGTTATAAGTAAGGTAAGCCACATAATTGTATTTGGAATTACTTTTCTGATTGTTTATTTTTCTTCTTTAATAATTAAAAGAGTTTTAGATTGACGTTCCTTTACATGAACTAATTGGCTCTTGTTTCTGTGAAGATGATTCAGGGAAATTCAGTTCTAATCCTGGCTCAGTTAGGGATTTTAACTGTGCTATACCAATCCTTGGCTAATTCCAGAGCAGATTTAGACCATAATGCCAGAGTCCAGGCTGCTTAAACCAGAAGTGTACCTGGCCTAGATTTGCACCCAATTCATGCTCTCAGCTACCCCAGGTGTTGGTTCAGTTTGTTCTGGACTGTGATGGAGATATGAGCCCTTGCAGGATTCATCAGTGATCAGTCCTCAGTTTGCATTCTGACTCCAGGAAGCTGGGAGCATTGACAGAACTTGACAGAATCCTGTTCAAGTCAAGATCAAACCTCAAATGTAAGCAAGGATCTCTTGGTGATGGAATGTCATTTTCTATCAAGAAGGGAAAATTAGGGGTGACCTTTCTGCCACTGACATTGTCTTTTCAAGCATGCCCAGGGTATCATAGTAAGCATATACAGAGCAGTGTACGCCTAGTGCCTTTTCAGTGGGCATACAGAACTCCATTTGTCTTGAGCAAAATCACAGCATGGAAGGAGAGTGTGAAGATAATAATTCATTGTGCATCTGCATTACCTCTCATGTAAGAACTTGAAGAAACATTATTATTTGTCTGAAAGTTTTATCCAGTCATCCAATCACATGCATGCCTCTAAAGGGGGGATGACTAGGGATGGAGAATCAAGGTAACAGCAAAGCAGCTCTGGTTGGCAGTGCAGGCAGTTAGCACAGGGGCTTGGGACAGACCCAGGCAATCTGCCCTGAAGGGGAGCTCAAGTCCATCTAAGCTAGTGCTGTTCAGAGACCTCGCACGTGCGCTATGAGGAATTAAAAGCACACAGTGCTGAATCCATATGTGTACAGGGATGGTACCCAGGCCTTCTGGAGGCTTTGGACAGTCTAGATCTTCCTGTGGAGGTTGGGGACTGCATGAGGACTTGACCTTTATTCTCTTCTCCTCCTTTGGCTCTGATTCTGTGGGGCTGGAAGAGAAAATCCCTCCTTACACTGCACTCCTGTTGCCTTCCTTGTGTGTGGATTACTGTGACTGTAAAAACAGCCTTCATGTGAAACCTCCCTTGCTGTGTATTTGTTACACACAGAAACAAAAATGTGAGCTCCTTTGCTTGTGGATTTCACAATATAACCTAAACCCAAATAGAATCTAAAACCAAGAGCCCCACAAATACACCCAGAAGAGCAATTAAGAGTCTGGAACAAAGATAGGAAAGTGATGGTGGAGGCTTATGCTGGTGTGCCTCATGCTGCACAAAGCAGGTGACAAAAGGCTGAAAGCAGAGGTCTACATACAAGCAGATATTCAGTTA